AATGAAACAACATAACTGGCCTCCATAGCATCGTGCAGCAAATAGAGCCGCCCTATTTGCTGCAGCTCTTTTATCCACTTTTATCCAACGCCTTTTCTTTTCGTTACATCTTTTGTGCTTAAAATAAGCTCACAGACTATTGCTATTGCTTCAACGTTGTCTGTTTCCTCTAAAATGACAGTGGTGGGTTTTTGTCTGGAATCGGCTGGTTGCCGTGGCTGAACTCCACACGCTGCAGGTTCAACGCGTTGCTCTGTCGGGCTTTAAACTGGGCTTTACACGTCTGAAGTTGCTGTCTGACCGGAGCAGCATATTAACAACTTAATCCTCATGTAATCCTTCATGTTGTTGTTTTTCTTCCTGCTTGCGTGCATCAGGAAGCAGAATAATGAGATTTGTTGAGCATCAGTGACGTTCAGTCCAGATGAAGGCGACCTGGACGTTATGGTCTGACTCGGATACGTATCGGATATGGGTCACATTCGAAAAGAATCCGACCTGTGCTGTTCACTCTGCCATGAAAAGATCGGATACAGGTCACATTACGCCAAAAAAAATCCTGGATTGGGTCACTTCAGGCTGCAGTGTGAACGCCAGCAGACGTTTCAAGTACAAGCGTTACAAGTTTTGAGAAGACAGACATGAAATCCGGCTCCCAGACTGAACATGTGTGCTGGCAGGAAAATTCCTCCATAGTCAGCCTCCAACAGACGCTCCAGAGCTCTGAGGATTTCCTTTCTCTGGTGAACACTTCAAAACCTTCAAAGTGTCACCAGAGAACTCTAGAAGCTGGTCTGCGTGTCCCGCCAGAGGTGGGCGGATTGGTCCTAATATCAAAATTATCAATAGCATCGCTGGAATTGATATTGAACAATACTTATGTAAAAATATTGAACCTGAAGGTTTTTATCTCTCCTGCAGGCAGAGACTGCTGCAGATTCATCTTCTGTCTGTCAGAGCTGCTCACACAGCATCACTTCCTGTCCCCGCCTTCGTTCGTCACGTGGCTCAGCAGCACCAGCCAATCAGAATGCAGGTAGGCTCCGCTGGCCCGCCCACTCAGCGCTCTCCGCAGGTCGACACGCCTCACTACAGACAGAGTATCCAAATGTCTGAGGGGAAGAGAAGCACTTTGGCTTTATTCTATGGCAAAAATTGAAACCATAGTAGGCTGTGCAGGCTGCAAACTGCATGCAGGAGAAAACGCAGCGCTGCAGAAACACAGACGACCCGACAGAGCCGGGCCTCCACCCACAGACTGGAGCTTCAAGTTATGTTGAGACACTTTTACACTTTATTTAAAGAAAAACAGAATTGAATTGAATTGAAAGGAAGAAGATTTCTTATTTTTGTAACATTTTTCCAAAGAACAATTGGAAAAAAAAAAAAAAAAAAAAAAAAAAAAAAAAAAATTAGAAAAAACGTCTAGGGAAAATTTTTTTTTTTTTTTGGGGTTTCTCTTTTTTTA